GTAACCGAAAAACAAATATATGGAACGGGGATGATCGTTTAACGCGAAAAGATGGATTTGAGTTACATGACTTTCGATTTCGAACTGTAAACTATGACAATTCTCTATCACCCAACTCACTACGTCATACGACATCTGAAAAACGCATACGAGTAGTTGATCAATGTAATCTATTCAGCAATCATAACTGCAAAATATTCATAATCACTTGCAATATTTGACTAACAAAACAGTGACAAATGAGGATGAATGAATATGAAACATTGAACACTTTCAAGTGTAATACTAATCATTCACGAATAATTCGTGGTTATCAGCCATGTCCACCATTGATCAAATGCAGACGAACGTTGAAATGTCTTCAACGGGCCACGGATAAATGCGTAAGCCGAGTTGATGTGTTGTCTAACATTATTTTATTCCTATACACCACCAACCGATGTGGCAGCGTTCAAATATTCAGAACTCCTAAACATCTAACAGGCTACACGAAAGTGATCATTGCTGCATCAGTCTTATGAAAAATACTGTTTACCTTAAATCGAATCATCATTTTACAAATATCAAATAAAATTAATCATTTCATATCAAATGATATCTGTGTACAGTTGCAGCATGAATCATTGATTTCTTTTACACTAATTCTGTCTCATCATCAATGAACAAATCATAATCAACCATACTCATTATACTACTTATTACAACTTAATCAGTAGCAAATATTCATTCATATTGCTATCGAATTTCCTACAATTCTCACTCATCCACTCACACACACATACATATGTACATATCTGCAAACATAAATGAACATACAATACTTAAATTTTACTATTCACTTACATTTCATTCCATTCCATTCAGTGTGATGGAGGTGAATTCCTAATCAACACTCACCTTCCATCACTTAGCAATTCCACTTATTTTGTGATATTATTACTTATCTGACAGAGTAGTGTGGCGAATTTGTGTGAATTCCAAGATTTAAAAAGGTGTATGAAAAATACATTTGGAGATGAATATCCATATAGCAATTCGATGTCCAATCGTCCATGAGATGAGTAAAATAAAGGTAGTGAGAATGAAGCTCTAGTGACAAGCACAGAATTGTCTAGAAGTTTGAGCTACATAATTAATTAATGACATCTACCTCGTTTCTTAGAAACAAAGGCAATATGTTGAACAGTGGTATCAGTCTTGAAAGAAAATATGTTTTACTTTCTTGGTTCAACTGAGGGAATGAAGATAAATGGAACTCTAATACACAAATCTTTTGAAGAATGAACGATCAGACTGAAATCACCAAAATGAACGTACTAACATTTGTAACCTATCTCATATCTAGGTGCACATACTAACATTTACAATGAGTATTGAATATCATCATATTAACTGAACCCGTTGTTATCCACTGTTACTCGATACTGAAGTGGATGTAGAAATGGGATTTCTGATTATAGGTCCAGTCTCAATGTGCTACTGTGAACGGTGACAGTGGAAAACAGGCTTGCCTATTTGCCAAATTTCGTGAAACACATAAATTAGAATATACAGATGTAACCATGAATTCAACTTTTACAATACTACAATCTCCATAAACACCCATTCTGAAATCCCATTGATTTAGTTTAGTGTCGAATATACCACAATCCATCGACTGTACATCATGCCGTGTTTGGAATAAACCAGTATCTGTACAGTTCTATCAAGTGATATCATAGATAATCCCAATTTATGAAATCAAGTCATTGTAAGCACAATGAAGAAACATTTCGAGATACAGTGGACAATGTCTATAGAAGCACTTGATACAAAGTTCACTCAGTGATCAGTTGTTGCTTATTTTCCAGATTACAATCGACACAATTATGAAGTCACAATCTCGTCGAATTTGTGATATTGAGATTGGATAGGACAAGACAGGATAGGACAAATGATTATTAATCAATAATATTATCGTTTAAATTAGACAGTAGTATGAGAATTTATGCTTATATCAGACATTTTACAGACTGATGAATTTGTCGATTGAGCATATTTCAACATTTTAAAAATATATCCAATTTTTTATCGTTTTATGAACCGTCGTCAATTTTCGGTGTTCACTGTAATTGTCTAGAGTTATTTACGATTGTCTTATTATAGTTTGCTTACTAAATTTACAAAAATGAATGACATTTGTGAATTTTATGATTTCAGTTTACCAAGTGAACTCAAGTTTAGCTACTTTGATATCATCACAAGTGAAATTACCCTCATTGTGAAGTTGATACTTGTGAATTGTCACTGATGTCGCAAGACTCATCGATAATTTTCCAACACATTTATCTACACCTATTACATTTCATGTATCATTAGACACCAACAAGGATTCTCTTATCTCTGCCTCCACTTCCTAATGCAATATGTTGTTGAGTGTTCTTCTATTCCTTGTGCTTTTAGGATTCCATGTTGAGTTTGTCTCGTGACGAAGTTTTATACTTTTTCATAATGTATGTCTTATCCACCTCAATTGTCTATTCCTCATTTTCTAAATGTTCATTTCATAGAAATTTAAACTCATTATTCTATTTTCACATAGTATGTTCACCTTTTTTTGATATAAATTTTATTCATATTAGATCATATGGAAATATAAAGTTTTTCTTTTTTTCACGTTAAAAAATCCAATTCCTTCTCACTTCATGTTTCCGTTTTTTTGTTTGTTGCTGTAATGTCGCTCTGTTATTAAAGAAGAACAACATATTCCAATAGTTGAAATCATGAGTCAATTGAAGCTAGACCATCATTTAAAACTTAGAAGCACAGGATGGCCGTTTCTTCTTTTTGCGAAACTGATAGGTCCTGGATTCGAACCCCATCAGGCAGGGTGGTGGATGCACACTATTGAGGAGTCCCACAACAGAACAAAACGGTTGTCCAGTGCTTCCAGGTTTTCCATGGTAGTCTAACTCCGATTGACTCATGATCTCAACTACTGAAATGACTACAATCTCCACAAAACCCCTCCTGATACTAAATAGCGTGTTCATAAAAATGTTGAATAAATAGAAGAAAAAAATTTAAATGGTATAAGCATCATGAACAATACTAATAATAACAATGTTTTGTTACAAGAAGCAAAGAAGAAGAAACCTGACGTTGATTCAATAGATTGTTCTGTCAACTTTCATTGAAATTACTGTTTTACCGTTTTATAATTATACCTAATTCATTGTGAACTTGGAATCACTGGACGGCCGTTTCGTCCTATTGTGGGACTTCTCAGCAGTGCGCATCCACGATCCCACGAGCGGGATTCGAACCCAGGGCCTTCGGTCTCGCGCGCGAACGCTTAACCAACTGGACTACTGAGCCGGCATCCAATGGTGATAGTTTCTAACATCAACCAATCCACGAAATTGCGCGACCAACTTCCATTGTACTGAGGTAGACAACTTCCAGGTTTTCAATTGTGGTGGTCTAACATCAATTGGTTCATGATCTCAATCAAAAACTTAATAATCTCCACAACTCTTATACTAGTAATCATTGTGAACTTGTTGCTATGTTTCCTAGCATATATGAGTAAATCTTGTCTAAATCATAATTTCTTTAATTTTTTTAGTAAGTTATAGTCATGAAAGTGATATTCAAGAATTTTTGAGTTTTTAAATGAGGATGATAAAAGATCAATGTAATACGGAACAATATTGTTATAAAAGAATAATGCCTTGTTAATTTCTGAACTGTAGAAAGAAAGACATCATAAGTATGTTACCACAAATATGTCGTATTTTGATAGGGTTAAGATGTATATCATGTGAATATTATGAAACAACGTTTATTTGACCCAAATTGCATGTATTTCACGAAAAGAATGGTCTATCTGTAAAAATAAGTGAGATAAAGATAGTGACAAATTTCATATACAACCATATTTTTTATGGTTGTCATGTCAAGAGACGGCTGACTAATATCACGAGCAATGTCATCAATCAAAATCCTAATTTAAATTTGATTTATTGTGCATCTGTTATTCACATCATAAGTTAGTGTACTCTGCCTATTACTCATTTGATCATCACTATTAACTTTGAATCGACTCAGTAAAGTACCCACTAATCCATCATTCGTAAGCTTATCTCTATGTCTAAAAATCAACAACAAACTTCTACTATGCTTATATTCCTAATAGAAGTGGTTAATATACAGACACACTACACTATACTATACTATAAAATGGAAAATGACAATTTTACACAAAGTAGACGATGAGTAAAATATTGGTAAAAATTTAGGAACAGTAAGTCGTATGGTAGTAGTTAATAGGTTAACCGTAAACTTAGGATGAAAGGGATACATAGACAAAGTAATCCAGTTAATTAATAGTGATACAATGAGAATATATATAATTAAATCAACCTATAAAATAGTTCTCGGAGTTATTATTTCTTCAGTTTTCGATAAGATATAACATTAGATTATGGCTATATCAGTCAACTTCTCCAATTATATTCTAACTGCTTCGCGAACATTTAAATACAGAGAAGTATTTATATGAAACACTGAGCCTAAGATGGTCCTGGGTTCGAGCTCCGCGTGCAGAATCATGTATGAGCACTACTGAGGAGTCTCTTTATTGGACGAAATAACCATCCAGTGTTTCTAGGTTCTCAATGGTGTTCTAGTCTAGATCGACTCATGAATTCAACTATTCGAATTCTGAAACTGTAAAATATATATCAATAGCTTGTAAGTGAAATAAAAGCTTATCGTTAGAACAATATGAAAATATTATAAACTAGAATATTGAATAATCATGACATCATAACAACAAATAGGTGTAATAAGCTATCTAAATAATAATAATTCGAAATTTTCCCCCTTTCCTTAAATATCCTCACAAATTTAACAAGATATTGGTACACTTCAATATTTAACAATATTTAATTATCATTATGATGTATCAAAAAAATGTCTAGAAAATTATAGAAAATTTTGAGAGAATTCCTAACTATATGAATACTACTACTACTACTACTACTACTACTACTACTACTACTACTACTACCACTCACACTGCTACTACTCACACTTCTACTACTACTCACACTACTACTACTACTACTACTACTACTACTACTACTACTACTACCACTCACACTGCTACTACTCACACTTCTACTACTACTCACACTACTACTACTACTACTACTACTACTACTACTACTACTACTACTACTACCACTCACACTGCTACTACTCACACTTCTACTACTACTCACACTACTACTACTACTACTACTACTACTACTACTATAATTACTACTACTGTCATTACTACTAGTTCTAATAATAATAATAATGAACCAAAATTTAAAACTTTTACACCTTTAGGCATTTACCAGAAGAAAAGAGGTAATTAGTTCAAATTAAGAATTTCCAATTCAACTGGATACAAATTCTTTTTTTCAAAAAAAAGCAACAACAGAAAATCAGTTTTTTTAAAGCAAATCTGGGTAGTGGCTAGTAGTGGGATCCAGTTTGATGCGCGTTTCATCCTACTTGACACCTATTTGACACCGCTGAATGTACCTTCATCCGAAAGTTGATGTTCACTACACGACTCGAACTCAGTAGCGTTCGCTTTACAAACCATACTGAGAAAAACAGCATCAAGTGAAGAAAATCAGGGTTTTTTTTACGTATATGAGTAGTTAACTTTGTATTTTGATTATGTTGACTTGTTATTTAACAGACTTGTGGTGACTAAAGTTAATTTTTAAAAAAACTACAAATATGAGCTTGAAATGAAAAAATAGATAACGAACTAAATTCTAAATGAAACGTCCAAGATAAATCCATTTGGCAATGATGTAAAACATTTGGTTAAAAAATTATTGTCTTAGACTAAAAGTGAATTAGTTTATAAAAGACTGGTGCTTCGATTTGGTAACTGTAATTTTCCCGGTGCAAATGAAGGAGACAAAGATTATAGATGAAAATATGGTACAGAACAAAAATTCGACCGATGATTATATCTGAAAACAATGATTTTTACATGATTAATATTCAGAATTGAATGAATGGAATCGACTGGTACTTGATATTGAGTAGTCGTATCGAGGTATCATGAACGAACAGGGGTAGCATATAAAGAATGGTAGTAATCAAAAAGTTAGTAGATGAAAACAGTTTGAAATATTATAAAATTAAACTGCTATAACCAACTAATAGTTCCAATTTATTGAATAATATAATGAAGTCTATAATTAAGTTACAGCAATAAAGGTCCTTTTGTTTATTCTGTTTAGTGTTTTAGCAAGGTTACTTTCCACGGGTTGGGGTTGCTGACTCCATACCCGACCCCTCTCCTTTACACGGGATTGAGACCAACAGTAACCCTAGAAGGGCTATAAGCGGAGCAGACGTCAAAATGATGAGTAGCAATTGGAAAGAATTGCCCAGGACAGAGTTCAATGGAGATTGCTGGTGGACGGCCTATCCTCCTTCACGTGATATAACAGCAGTACTTAGGTAAGTATAAAGTTTCTTTTAGCGTCAAATTTTTGGTAGTGCATAGTAGCAGTAATAAAAACTTTATAAATGCGCCATCATTTACGATATATTGTCCATTACTACATGACAGTGTTAACTAGGATATAGGTATCCATTGTACTGATCTATTATTTTTAATGAACCGGAAATACTTCACTTACCCCATATAAATCCACACTGATTATTCACAATATAATTATTATTATCATATTCTGGACATTATTAAAAAATCCATACTAGTTCGCAGGCTTGAACAGCTTGGTACAGAAAGCTATGTTACATGTAAAGGACAGAGATGTAAAGTTGAATTTTTGAAATGAATTTGTCCCATTAGAGTTTGCCAAACAGATCCATCTTTTGAGTGTATGTAAGACAGAAACAACAACAACAAAAATCTATTCATGAATTCAGGCAGAAAATGGATGACTGTTAGCTATACACCTTCCAAAGGTCGACTATTTCTTGAAAGTTAACAGCATCGGATATAACTGACAATTTGAAACTGGTTAAGTTATTGTCAACTGATTGAGCCAACCACCAATTCAAATGATAAATAAGTATTTATATCTTGTGTAACAAGTATTCAACATTATTTCAGCTTGACGATCAAACATTAAATCCGATCATGACTTGAGAATTACATCAATTTTTACGATGTAAACCGATTACTAGTTGATGATGACTGGATAGATTTTATGCGAAATGCTTCAATGGACTACATTTGTGTAATTTCGAATCGTTCCCACCACTGTGTTACTTATGTTATAACTTCGTCAATCGGAAACAATTTATCCAAGGTATGAACGATGAAACCAAGTGAGAGGAACAAATTTATGGTTTAATAAAAGATTACAGAGGGCTTTCATGAAATATGAAAGCCATACATTAATTTGCACATCCTTTATGATTCTTTCAATTCCATTGTCATGACGATTACTTTCTGTTCCTATTTCCGATTGTTGCTACATACTGTCAATATAAGTAGCATACACCTCATACACGTCACCACTTCATAACTCCCCAAAACTGATTTGTCCATCAAATCCAGTTTTAACTTCTTGATATACTGTTCTTCCTCAACAAATGGAAGCATTGCAACCAGCTTAGTGATAATGAACACACTTTTACAAAACATGTCAATATGACAACTAGTTATGTTTTCAGAAGAATAGATTAAAGTGAATAAATTGAACTCCATTCGATTAACTACAAAGTTAATGAACATGTGATCTTAAATACACTGCCTATCGAAATTTCACCCGAATGATATGGATAAGTACTAGTTTGTTAATTTGATTGTCAACCGAACATCACCATAAATGAATTAAATGTTCGGTAATATATACATTTCATATAATATCATAATGAAAATTTTAATGTTGTTCATCAATGGATCATTCAAAGGTGATAATAATTAAGGGAATGAATGAATTTATCCATAAGTAGTATAATGAGGCAATGTGTTAATCATTTTACCATTTTATATAGAGAGTAACCTAGAGCTATAAACTTCAAAATACAATCAAAACTGTAGTTTAAACACAAATCCATATGAATAAAACCACCCATTTGTAAGTTCTGTAAAAGGATATTTAGGTTGAATGTAAGAAAATTATTCAGTACACTGTTTTAATATTTCATTTAAGGTGTAGGAACTGAAAAAAACTCCAACTGAAGCTCTTCAAAGGTTACTGACAGTCCCAAGACCGGGTAAAAGAGAAGAGTTGGATATGGGATGATTAACTACATCCCGTAGAAATCGATGTCACTGCAGAAAAGCTAACAGGAATAAACAAATAAAGCTATTTAATCGCTGCTCTCCGAGTTTAATGATCTACATTCAGAAGAGTAGTGTCACCTCATCCAAAATCACGAACCCGATCCCCCTCCTAACAAACACAGCAACAATGAATATAGGTACAAGGAATGTCTGAACAATGCGAGAGACCGGGGGAATTAGTCAAATAGCTATGTAAATTAGGAAATAAAAGATGACGGTGCCATAAATCAGTAAAACGCCAAAGTCGGAATGGACAACACTGGTCCGATATGAATGACTAGGAGAATCGAACGAGAATGTTATGAGATTTGCAAATTTATATTCATTTAACAAAATGGTTATAGGCGGTAAAATATTTCCACATAAACTCAAACACCAAGATACATGAATCTTACCGGATCACACTACATGGAACCCGATGGATCATATTTGCATCACTAACAAATTCACAAGGTCAATGGAGGACATGAGAACTAGGAGAGGATCTGGCATAGCTTTATATCACCACCTGGTTGTAGTTGCCAAGATGAAACTGAAACTGAAAAAGCAGTGGACAATTAGACAAACAGCATTGCAAACGTTCAACAACGCCTCACTTCAAGAGACTGACAAACTCAACGAATTCAAGATAGCTCTCAACAACAGGTTCCAAGCCTTACGAAATCTACTCAAAGAAGAAGCAACTATTATGAAGAACAACTGGAAAGAGATTAAAGGAGCACTAACTTCAACGTGTCAGGAACTGCTAAGCTGCAAGAAGCATCATCATCAAGAATAGATCTCTATAGAATCCCTGTTTTGGATTTAAGACAGGAGGAACAAGAAGACAGAAATTAAAAACAGTAGGACAAGAGTAGGACTCCGCCTGGAGTCCCTCCAGGGACTACTGCAGGTCCAAAACCCGGATAAAGGAGAAGGGTTGGCATGGGGTTAGCGACCCCATCCGTTAGAAAACTAACCGGCTAAAAAAACACTAACCAGAAAAAATTATTCAAACCATTTAAACTCTGCCCTGGGAGTCAGAAGGTCTTCATTTAGAAAAGTTACGACGCCTCATGATGAAAGCCGAGTTCCTTCGTAATCCATGAGGTCAATGCCCCTTCTGACAACATGAGCAACCATTTATTTGGGTACATGGAATACTCGTACAATATTTAAGACAGGGAAAGTCATCCAAATTGCTGCAGAAATGAGGAGATACAACCTGGAGGTACTTGGGATCAGTGAAACACGTTGGACGCAAGTTGGACAACAACGATTAGCTTCAGAAGACCTCCTGTTATACTCTGGTCATGATGAAGAAAATTCCCTACATACACAAGGAGTTGCATTGATGCTGTCCAAACAAGCACAAAATGCACTTATAGGATGGGAATCTCATGGACCAAGGACCATCAAAGCCTCCTTCAAAACAAAGAAAGAGGGCATTTCAATGAAAGTCATCCAATGCTATGTGCCTACCAAGGACTGCAATGAAAACGCTTAAGATCAATTCTACGTTAGGCTGCAGTCAATCATCGAGAAGTACTCAAGGAAGGACATGACCATTCTAATGGAAGATTTAAATGCCATGGTTGAAATGGACAACACCGAATATGAAGACATCATGGGACGACACGGACTGGGAGAAATGAACGAAAATGGTGAGAGGTTTGCAAACCTATGTGCCTTCAATAAACTGGTCATAGGCGGAAATATATATTCCCACACAAAACCATATGGACTTCACCGAATCACACTACGCAAAACCAAATCGACCATATCTGCATCAGCAGAATGTTCAAGAGGACGATGGGAGACGTGAGAACCAAGAGAGGAGCTGATATAGCATCAGATCATCACTTGCTGGTTGCCAAGATGAAATTGAAACTCGGGAAGTACTGGACAACTGGGAGGACAATATCACGATAATTCAATGCGGCCTTTCTTAACGATACTGACAAACTCAACGAATTCAAGATAGTCCCCAGTAATAGATTCCAGGTCTTTCATGATCTAAACAATGGAGAATGAACTACTGTGGAGAGCAACTGAAAGGGGGTCAAAGAAGCAATCACTTCAACATGCTATGAGGTTCTGGGCCACAAG